AGTTCGTAATAATCTCTTAGTCCTTGTGTATTTCGATTACATTTTTATTTATAGTATATCATATATTGAACATTAGTATTCCTAATCATCATTATTATTATTATTATTAATCAAAATATAAACATCAAGTAGAAGTTTATCTAACACAATAATTTAAGCAAATATCTATATCGTAAAGATTCAAAAACTACTGGACCGATTTTTTTCACCATTAAAAAGCTACGTTATCGTTAACATAGACTACATTATTATTTTATATTTTATGCAGATGACGTCGCGAGCAACAGCTAGTGTATTACAAAATCGTAATACGTGTGAATACTAGTTCTAAAAGTAAAGGAATATTTATATACTAGTCGTTATGTAACAGTCCTTACGTTACTTCCCGAGTAAGGTATCGATGTTAGGCGCCGTCCTGTATTATACCTTATATAGGCTATAGTCGACTTATTTTATTTTCTATCGATACTAAAAGAATCCTGATGGTTTTAATCAAGTTTATCGATATAATATGTTTCAGAATGTAAGCTCTCAATTTGTGGTAAATGAAAAATTATGAAAGAGCTAAGAAAAAAATAATAAAATTAAAAGTAAGTCAAGAGTCGTAATAGTCGCAATTACGTGATTAAAAGTTAGCTGTTGCTCGCGAATTCGTCTGTGTGAAATAAAAAAAACATAACTTATGTTACTCGTTGATAACGTAGCTTATTGACGGTGAAAGAATTTTTGAAATCGGTTCAGTAGTTTTGGATTTATTTCAATAAATACAAAAATACAATTTTTTTCTCTTTATAATATACTAGCTGTTGCTCACGACATCGCTCGCGCGATATTAAAATCCATAGCCTATGTCACACAGATAAAATACATTTCTAACGTTGAAAGAATTTTTAAAATCGGTCCAGTAGCTTTTGAATTATTACAATACATACAAAAAAACAGAAACCCAAATATATAATTTGTGTTTATAATATTAGTATAGAAGTATAAATTAAATCGTTGTGAAATCTACACTGTTACCCCATTTTTGGCAGTCGTAGTAATAAAATAATAAAACCTAATACCACGTACATTACTTGTTAATACTTAAAAAATTCTTATGAGAGGAACTGACGCAGCAATGTATGTAACAGTTAAGATCATACACTAAACGCTATTCCAATTTAGATGTGTAGATTGTAATGAGTTAATGCAAGTGCTCACTATGGTGTAATGGTCAATTAGTTGAGAGTTTAATTTACTTAATGTATGAAAAAAGAAGCCCTATAGAGATTCCCAGACGTCTGATATGCGGACCTCGCTAATAGACGTAGATCGTGTTTTTTTTAATCATTTACTGTACATATCTTAAGTATTACTGTTTTTTTAATGCAATTTATATCATTAGTACTGAGATAACAGATCAGATAAATTATAAAAATAATGACTCATTTGGCTCGATTTCTTGATTTTTTTTTTAATAAATATTTTCTTTATGGATGTTATTGTATAACTGTATTTTTTATCTGTGATTGATGAAGCGGTCCAGCAACACGTAATATAGGATATATTGACCTAGCAATTTTAAAAATTGTTTTTACTAATGTAATTAAGACACTACTTCGTGGCGTATGTCAGCAATCACATCATGTTTTTGAAAATTATTATTTTTAATCAAAAGTCTTACTCTTACGACATGCTTTAGGTTATATATTCACGCTATTAAACTTAGGGGTTAAATTAATTGAAAAAATCTACATGTGGGTAAGGGACCATAAACTACAAGATGCCAACATTAAGGAAGCAAGGTTATCATAGTAACGGTAATTATGACATTTGCAATTGAGAATTTCAAAATTGTGATTTTATAATTTCATGCGCATGAAGCCGCACGGAAACAGCTAGTGATAAAATAAATGGAAACTCGGCAACAGCATCATCAACTTGCCCTTATCCCTTAAGGAGGGTTTGCACAGTATGTATTGCTCTTCCATACATTTCTATCAGCCGTCGTATCTGAATCCACTCCCTTCTTAAGCATATCCACTTTCACACAATCTATCCATATTTTCTTCGGTCTTCCTCTTCCTTTGTAGCCATCCACATTAATTCTTAACAATTTCTGGTTTATGTCCCAGCCAGTCAGCCTTAATGAAATATAATACAAAAGGAAACCTCTGTAATTAGGCACGCTTTGCTTTGCTTTCAACGGATTAATGCAGCCCTCGTATCCGACAGGATTGTATGAATAAATCGCTCACTTGCCTTTTGAAGAATGGATAACGGAATACGAACAAATGCTGTCAGCTTTCAAAATACAAATGTAATGTATGTACATGTTAGAAAGGCTTAATCATTTCTCTGTTGTTTTGGTAAAATTCAACTACAGTAGAACCTCGATAACTCAAACCTCTGTCACTTCAAAAAATATTATGGTCCCTACCCATCAGAGCCCAAAACCTCTACAACTTAAAATACGCAACCTCTTTAACTTAAATAAGTAAGGTCTGTATTGGCCCTCCGTAACTTAAAAAATGTTTCCACAACCTGTATAACATAAAATTGTTTGTCAATGTAATTTTGAAATATTTTGTGTTTCCCCAGGACTTTGACTTATTGAAGTTCTAATGTATTGTTATTGTTAAAAATCTGTTACGAAACTAACGATTTTTATATAGTTAATACGAATTTAACACAAAACACAACGAATGCAGAAATTATTATGGAAAGATTTGATAACTCGGAATTCATTCTTCTGTCTTTGTACAAATTGTTGCGAATTGAAACGATTTGATAACTTCTTCTATCTCCACCAATTTTCCGATCAAAATTCTGTCAACAGCCGGAGAAATTTCAAAATAGTAAATATATGGATCTTTACCTTCCTTCTCTAAGCCGGTTCTGAGTTTCCGTCTTAGTTCGTCTTTTTTACCGCTCGCGTCCAAGTCCCTTTCCTCCAATTCATTTCGCAGCTCCACCACTTTCAAATCGTTCAATAATCGCTGTGTGGCCATACCCCACACCTGAGACCAAGTATACGATAAATGTATTTTCTTTATATAAATTATTTTATATAAAACCTATATATCTCTTTAATTGTTTTATATTATTCTTAATTCCTTTTTAATTAAACTCAATAATGACCTTAGAGAAATAAAAAATGCAGTAAACGTCAAATCGTTGGAGTATTGGCAGGAATACAGGTTATTAGCGTCCAATAACAAAAAACATTCAGTTACAAGTCAATCAAATAGTTGGTAAGGCGAGTGTCATAGACGAAGGCGCGTCTACCACCTTATTAGGAGTGTATTTGATAGATGAACCGTCTCGTTGCACATGAATTGCTGTATTATATAAATATTAAATATGATTCACAAGGGTCGTACGATTTCGCGCGTAAAAAGTCACCCACCACGCTCCAGGGGCATACCGATGTCCGTAACTACCACGTAAGAATCGATATTATGGAATTCAATCGCCCACTGTACCGCTAGGGATGTCGCCAACATATTCTTTAGGGTTGAACAAAAAACATTTTCCAGATACTAATTAATATAGCTGACAGAACTTAGAAAGCTGATACCAACTTACCTAAATTGTAATAGAACATTATATTATTCTATTTTAAATTATATACCTGTCTTCTAACATTAAACTATTTTTGATCTTATAAAATAATGGCGATTTAATAATAATGTTTAATTAACAAATAAAAATTATTAGTACATTTAGATAATAAAAAATCGGTCTAAGGTTACTTTAAAACTATTAACGTATTTAATTTAACAAATATAGTGATAGACATCGCAGTATTTACAATGAAAGTTGTTAGATTAATCCTTAAATGTGAAATGGTAGTAGAAATGGGAGTAATTTGGCGTAAAGACGTGTCGCGTTAGGAGTTTACGTCCCGCTAGGACAGGGGCAGGGGCAGGGGCAGTCGACAGGTGACAGGTGAATACGTCCCTGCCCGTGGCGCTTACACAGCAATTAGTCGTTACGTTCCAATACCAATTAGTGTGGAGTCGGCGCGAACGTGCCCTTTGATCGTGGACGTAAAATTCAAAAAGAAACCAACAATTGGTCCACCTGCAATCGTTTAAATTACATTCCAAGCAATGGTCAATGTTCACATGTTTTTTATCGACTTACATAAATTATGTTTTCAATCAATATCATTGTGAGTTATAACAACCGATAGATCTGCCTGCCTTAGAGTAATGGTCGGCAAACTTATTAACCAAAGAGCCAAATAAATAAAATAAACATTACAACTATTTAAAAAAAATAGGAGCCAAATCTGCTTGCATACTAAACAAAATAAAATTTCATAATCAATAAATATTTATTAAAACACAAGGAGATGCAAACCCTTTGCTTGCAGGTTTTGCATCTCCTTGGAACGTATGTGTAAGTTTGAACCGCACTTAAGGAGCCAAAGAGTCTCATGCTGCTCTGAAGCAGCCCTTTGCCGGCCACTGTCTTAGACAAATTATTATTCGAACAATTAAATGTATGGAACTGACAATAACTTTCGATATCGATTTTACTAGATATGTCGTTAATCGAATATCACTTTGTCTAAGAGGCATGGACTGATTTCTACCCTTCAGACTGTTGTAGGGGAAGTCATTTTTTTTAATAAGAAAAGGTAACGACGCCCATGGGAAAGTCCATGGGCGTTGTTATCAACAGAGGTACTACCTCTTTGTATAAAATGTTTCAGACAAGTTTCTGACTGTAAGAGCTAGTTCCTTTTTAATATAGTTTTTTTTTTAAAAGGTTTAAATAAATCTTTCACTAAATTATTCCTATGATCGAGAAAATCTAATAGGAATTTTATTTTATTTAGCAAAAATAGTTAAGTTATTGTTTGTGTCATGTTAGGTAATATGCTTAGTAATTGGAACGTTTGGTATCCATGTTCGCACGATACGTATATTTTAACAATTTCTATTATCTAGATATGGTTTTTTCGTTTCATATTTGTTCAACATTTTTATGAACTGTTTTAATTACAGGAGTACGCCTGACCTTTCGAGAGTGCGACAAGGTATTATATTTTAAGTTATTAACGGCAGTATTTGACCTTCACGAATATAATAGTTATTAAATGCATTGGCGTGCGGCTTTTATGTTTGTTAGCAAGCTGTTTTCTGTTATTGATGTTGTAGAAACGTCAACTTTGCTTATATCTCCCGTACATATTGTCATTTTACGACTTGATTACGGATACTTGTTTTATAAATGTTCAGTTGTTACCGAAACATGTTAAAAGTAACATTTTCTTTAAATTACATATTTTTGTACAAATCTGACAATTGAAAATTAAAAAGAATGGGAAGGGAAAGTAGATTTGAAGTTAAGGAGACGAATTAGAAAGGGAAATATTATCGTTATGTGCGTTTTCTCCGTTGTTAAGGGCGTATATGGGCAGAGATCGCTTCGCTTTCTCGGCGAATTCAGCTGGCCTGTAAATAAAAAAATCTATAAAAAGTAGCAAAGGATAGAATCATATAAATCATATATTACCTTCCACGTAATCTATCTATGTATAAAAAGCATAGTATATAGAATGTCGGTGCGTGTTAGCAGGTAAGCCGGCGCGGGCGCGGCCATCGCCGGAACAGTTCCGAGCGCGGTGCAACAGTATGTCCTCGCCCCCGGAACCGCCGCCCAGGAAACGGACCTCTTCTGGCGTCTTCCAGGTCAGTGATATATGGAAAATAATAACAAATGTATCATAGTACCACCATCTATACTAATATTATAAAAAGGAAAGATTTGTATTTTTGTATTTATTGAAGTAACTCAAAAACTACTGGGCCGATTTTAAAAAAAATCTTTCACCATTAAAAAGCTACATTATCAGTAAGTAACATGCGTTACATGTTTTATTATTTTTCAATTTTAATATTTTTTTTTCAAAGGTAAAAGAAAAATAACATACATTTTTTTGTGCGAATCGGGAATGTGAGAATGGAATATTAATGGGTCTGGGAATTCGGGTAGGTACTATGAATATTATGACATTTCATTTCCATTTTTTTTTTCACTTCAACATGTAGGTAGACGAACTAGAGCCACCGACTAAGAAGCCGGAACTAACTGGATCGTCAGAGGAGGCCGTGCCTGCGCATGATAGCCCTCTTGCGTACTCGAACGGTCGGCGGAAAGCCCCCGCCACCGACGAGGACAAAAGTCGCCAGGAAAGCGACAGTCGCCATAAGAGCGACAACCATATAGTTGATAAATTTGATAATAACTCCACTAGTAGTTGTGTAACCGCATTCAAAGAAAGCGATAGTTGGGATTAAGTAAATGTATCAAATCTTTAATTAGTTTTATTTCTTACCTAATATTCCTTAACCCTTAACTTGGCAGAATTTTTTTATTCGAATATCAAAATAATATTCATAGCACTTAACCTTGATGACCTAAAGTGTTTAACCACTAACAAGAAAAGAGTTAATTCTTAATGCTTACAATCTATGTGTTTAAATATAGTCTATATATTTACGCTATTAAATTTAGGGGTAAATAAATTGGAAAAAACCTTCATTTGGGAAAGGAACCATAAACTACAAGCTGCCAACATCAAGGAAGAAAGGTTGCCATGGTAACTGTAATTGTTATCCAATTTTAAAGGCCTTTGTCATTTGTGCATTTGAATTTTGATATTTGTAATTAAGAATATGACAAATGTTAACACACTTTATTTGATAAAGTTTTTATAAAGCGGATGAAGCCGCATGACATCAGCTAGTTGTCGCATAAAGATATTTTTTTTATATATCTATCCGACAACTGGCTGCCAATATTTTAAGGATAATTCATACAACATTGATAACATAAGAAAGAATTTTACTAACCTTTAAAATGGGTGATGATAATACATGTCTGAAAAAAACAGCCTAGGTTTTTTTCTTTAAATTCCGCGCTTACGCCTGGTGTAAAAGATATCTGGCTGAAGCTGAAGATTGCGTAAGCGTTCCCGTGACCCAGCCACTGGCGGACAGAAGGAACACCGCTGGGTTTTTAGCCCACTAATACCCATATTCCGGCCATTTTCCATCTTCTTGGCCGGCAAGTCCCATATGGTAATAGGGGGGATGCGTAAATGCATTTTCCCAGCGGAAAAAAAGGTGTAAAAGATATATTAAGAAATACATTTAAGTCTTCATTATCTTCGAGCGGCGATATGCATTCCGTCGAAGATTGTCGTCGCCAGCACGTTTGGGATTTCCAAGGGCATTGCATAAATGGAGGCACATGCCGCTTTGAAACCCCAGCTATACGGCAACACTAAAACCGCTTGTCTTGAAATTTCAAATTTCAATATACTTGTACCTATCGGGTGAGACAACTTGGCCTAAACACTTATATGTAAGAAAAATACTAATTGAGATTACATATTTTCTCTAAATATTAACTTTATTCTCTAGTCTTATCTATACTACTATAATAAAGCGTATACACACACATCTTTGTTGCCTAAGATGTCAGCAATTACAGCATATTTTTTAATATTTTTTTTTAATAAAAAGCCCTACACTTACGTCACTTTAGGCTATATATTTTAACGCCATTAAACTTAGGGGGTAAATATTTTGGATTAAACTCTAATGTGGGAAAGAGACCATAAATTGCTGCCAACATCAAGGAAGCAAGATTGTCATCATGTCATTTTGACATTTACAATTGAGAATTTGACAAATGTAAACAATGAAATGAAGTTTTTATAATTTCATGCGGATGAAGCCGGACGAGAACAGCTAGTTACATATATTGTAATTTTAACGTTTGATGTTACAGAGATTTATGAATTAGAAGTTACAGACTTTCCTGTAGCTAATTTAACCAATTTATTAATGTTACATTCAAGTAATTGTATAGTCTGTTAGTTGTGCGTTGCCTTATTAAACAGTACTGTAAATGGTAGACTACTAATTGTGCTATTGTACATCAATACGTGTTAATAAGGCGAGTCATTTAAACTAAGCTTTGATGTACGCCGCGAATAGGATTACATTGTTATTATCATCACGAATTTAACTAAACAATGAACCACTCTAGTGTACTACGGAAGCGGAACAGTCTTCCAATTGTCCTGTTTATTAAGTAATTTAATATTAGCAAAAAATATAGATACTATAGCTAGTTGAAATTAGTAAAATTTACAAACTGTAAACCAGTTACGCGCCGTACACAAAAGCTACATACAAAAGACTTCAACGAGTAACTTCGTACACATTACTACGATGAGAAGAGTTAGACTCTAACTTCTGATAATTTTGTTACGAATTCTAAGCTTATAACCTCGCACTTGTGATTAAAAAGTCTATAGTTTATATTTAAAAATAAAGCTACCTATATACTTGACATTTCATTATCGAACAAGACAATAAAAGCTTCATTTCCATTCTAAATACTTAAATAATAAGATGTTAGATAGCGAAAATAAAACGCCATAGGGGGTTGACGGATGGCGTTAACGCACCAACAGTTTTCGGCACCTCCGACCTCGCTTGTCGATATCGATCTCAAAAGCTTTCAGTCTAAATCTCTATCGACTATCGCTAGGTCGACTGTTGACCCTTGGTATAGTGGTTGATGTTATCAAAATGCTATTTTCTTTGTTTTGTAATATTTCTGAAAATATTTTTTATTCATTTAACTTAAATATGTACTGCATGAGCATCGCCAGGCGACGATCTAGTCGAAGACAGGCCGGAAACTAAGGAGGGAACTGTAAGTACAATTTTGAATTTATACAATTATTTTACAATTTTCGACTATAGAGGGGGAGAGGGAAGGGGGAGGGGGGAACTGCATGGGGCACCTTAACCTATAAGTATATCCTTATGATTTAAAAATTTCACTCTTGTGAAAAATAACAAGTTCTTCGTTCTTCTTTCTTCGTATTGTTGACTGACCACCGCGACTTGGGACTTAGCAGGCCAGTAAGAAACTATACACCCACAAGACCGCTAAATCCCTAGTCGCGAGTGGATCATCTTCTTAAATCGAGTTATACATGGTCAGAATTATTTAAAAAAAACATAGTTACGTTGTAGTAGCGTTTAGTAGTTGTAAGTTTCAGACGTCAGAAATACCTGAAACAATATTAAAATTTACGTTAAAATACATAGATAAATGTGCATCCTTCGTTGATTAAAGATAAAGCATCTGTAAAAGCGAGTGTCTATGGGTAGTGGTGGCCGCTTACTTTTTTGCCAAGTCATTAAATTAAAAAAATAGAAATGTAATTTTGTAATAAGAATTAGAATAGGTTACAAGGAGAACGTTAGTATTAGTGTGAAAGGGTAGACCTAGAAAGAGAAGGATGGATTGCGTGAAAGGTGACACGATCAAAAAGGGAGTGATGACTGCGATGACGTATGATAGAGTTATTTGGAGGTCAAAAATCTGTTGCGCCGACCTTACTGGAGTATGTTAAAGAGGATGATGATGCTGATGAATAAGAATTGTTTATATGATCGACCTCGATGTTAGCGAGTGCTTGGGACTGTATAATATACGGCCTCTATCAGTTTAAATGCAACCTTCTTAGTCATAATGCAGGTTTCTGTACTTTGTTAAAGAATTTAAATGGAATAAATTTAAAACGGTTGGATGCGGTCTAAATCAGGGATCACAAGTGGCTGTAGTGCTTGAGGCTATGCACTGAGATTAATCAACGCGGATGCGAGCGCGTGCCAGCCCGCGGCCACTGATGCCGACATTCGTTAGAAAGAAAACATTCCGGGTTTTCATTTCTGTGAAAATTAGCAACTTAAATGTTCTCCCAAAATAATATAGCTATTAAACTATGTTAGTTGTAAACTTTACTTCAAAAAAATGTGTTTTAACGGTAAAAACACGATAACCACTGGAAAGGCCGTTTGTATTTTTTGTAAATGTGCGTAGAGACACTTCCAGATATTCTGACGAACGTTTTTCGCGTGCTGTTTTTTACCGACTTCCCAAAGGAAGGAGGTTATCAATTCGTCTCTTTTTATTAAAGGTTTGTATTTGAGTACCATTTTCATTGTAGACTAAATAGTTTAGCTGATTTTGAAGTGTGAAATAAGTTAAAATTATTTGATTCATATTTTTTGTTGTAAGATGGGTTAGAGTACAATATATTGGATTACTTTATTTTTATTAATATTTCCAAATATAATTAGTTGCAGTTTTATGATATATTGTTTATTTTATTTTAATTTTCACTATTAAATTAGTAATATATTCAGTAGTAGCAGTATTTTATATTGATAATAAAATAACGCTGACAAACGGTTCGCTGGCTATAAATCTCGGCTGTCGAAGATCGACTTTATTGATTCGAATGCAAAGGTAACGGCACCTACTATAGAAATGTTTGACGATTGTTTATTAAACATTTTTTAAATTTAAGTATCACACCAAGAAAAAATAATATAAAGTATACTTAAGCGAGTAAAACGTGATAATTTAAACACTCACTGCGTAACAGGTCGATATCGGCCTGACACAGTACTTAAGCTGGTGCGCACGAAAAAAACCATCTCCCTCTCGCTTGTGTGAAACGATCTCAGGTGTATACATTACATTACATAAAATGTATACATTATGTTTCCACAAAGTTATAGCTATTTAATCTATCTTAGTGCTGGTGGGTCTAGAAAGACCTGCCACACAGAAATATCATTGGGGGCGCATTTTGGCCCGACGCCGCACTGTAAAATTAGGACTACTTGCCGCAGTGAACGTGTATGAGCACATTTATTAAATTTTTTTGTATGTTACAAAAACCATATAATAGAAATCAGCGCAATAAGTACGTCAAACCTAATTCAAATATATCTCGACGATCAAATTAATGGTAGCGTTTAATATTTTATTACCTTGTACATGCGTTTGTTAATTCATTGTGGAACATTTAGAAACATTATTGTGAATTATTATCAATGTTTACATATTAACGAGCGGTTTCTGTCTCATGTACTGCTACCATATTGTACCACGTAGACCTATGTATTTAGATTATATCTTAGTATATAGATTAAAATACAATTACCGATACAGAACAGGGATTGGTAACGTTACTAAAAGTTCATCATCATCTCCTTATCCTACTCCCGTAGGGTCGGCGCAACAGGTTTTTGTCCTCCACATAACTCTATCATACGTCATCTCAGTCATCACTCCCTTTTTGATCATGTCACCTTTTACACAATCCATCCATCTCTTTCTAGGTCTACCTCTACCGATGTACCCTTCCACACTCATAACTAACGTTCTCCTTGTAACATGCGATTCATCCCTCCTCATAACATGCCCATACCATGCT